ATACATTTTCAAAATAGAATATTTTTAAATATTGTACTTTGTTTAATAAAAATTACAAGTCTCCAGAACACTTAATTACTTTTCTGGTTTGTGCAAATGGTAATTATAGTCGTGAAATCAAGGTAACTCTAAACAAAATAACCTCACTTTATAGTATCAAGAAAAAAAAACAATAATGGTTAAGAGCATAAGTATGAAGCTGGAATTCAAAGAGTTATAACTGTTATTTTTAGAGTAATAATCAACAATGTGAATTTTCCAGCCCATGTTAGCATGAGTGAAAGAGTTGTAGTAGACAGTATCTGGCCAAGATGAATTAGGTGTCACCTCGAGTACACCAGCTTCTCCTGTAAATGAGATTTAACCAATGTATTAGGAAAATGTCAATTACCATATGACTAGGATACTATAAACATATTAACTACTTACCAGGCTCACAAGAATAAATAAGAGTTCGATTAAACTTCTTGAAAGTCAAAAAATCATCGTCCAGTCGCCGATCGCGATTATTGTGTTTACTCAGGCACAGTGGTCCAACTAAAATTATGATTAAGCCAGTTATAAATCTTTATATATAATAATATACATGTATAATACGTTTTTCTTTTTAATATTGCTACTTAGTTGATATTAAGTCAACGAAAAAAAGACATTTTTTTTGCAAATCTTATCCTGTAGAAAAATTGAAACGTTCTAAAAAACTGTAACTCAACGTCAAATAACAACCTTATGCTTCAGCCACCGTGATTGGGTTATGATCGCAATATAAAAACGCTATTCTTATATAATAAATCTATTTTACAACTTGTTCCTGATCGTATATGTGTTGACACCAAAGGTAATGGGTGTGTGGTCGCCAAGTGATGTTTTTTTTACTTTTCCTAGCAAACGAAGTAAACAAGCTTAAAAAAATTTTAAAACACCTAAATCTATTAAATTTTAGCTGCTTTTTTTTAACAGACTAATTACTTTTACGCGAAGTATCTGTTAAAACACCTATGGTAGCTAAGTAAAGAATTATCTAGATCCCGAGTAAATAGTCACCTAAGGTTAGCTCAAGGATTATAAATACGAGATCTGAGCATTTTGGGCCTTCACGACCGTACTGTGTATACATTTTCCGACCTCTTGACCAGAACTGGTATATAAATGCAATAATTTTTTCTCAATGATAAAATGATGCGGTTGTATGGCTCTAAAACAAACGAAGCGGGCCAAGCTACATTCTTTATAAATCAAAGTATACGACCTGCGCTCTGGGCAGTTATAGGTTTGTTTAAGGCTAGGTGTGGTGTTAATCTGTTTGATATAAGGTTAATATATGATATAAGTCACAAGTCAATATTACTTAGTTTGTTTCTGTCAAATTACTTTAAGTAACAAAGTTTAGTGTATTTTTGTCATACAAAAAGAGTGCAGCCAAAAAAAAATCTTGGTCTTAGAACATTGCAAGGATAAAGATTCATTGGCAGGAACAGTTTTTTGCCTGTCTATGAGGTCTTTATAAACTCCTTAAAAAATATGAATTTAACGCATGAAACTTATCCAATCTTCTACTTTTGCTTAAAGGTGTACTCTCATGGGGTGCATATAATTTCGTTTCATAATTCTCATTTAACATGTGATTTATTCTTTGTACTTGCTTTTTACATTTACAAGTTTGTATATTCTCAATTCAGAATATTGTTAAATATACTTTTTCTTTATAATACTTGTACTATATGTTTTAAGTACTACTGTTAAAGCCTAGCTTTATCGATTATGCAGAATACCTTTGCATGAGAAAAAATTATGTATTATTATTATTTGTGTATGTAGAAAAGATAATGTGGCACGTTCATTATGGATGATTTTTTTTCAGTGAAATTTTGCATGGTGTTATAGAGTACATGTAAGTAATTTTATGTAGAACAATTGGAGTGTTTCGTCATGTAAAATTAACGCTATCTGTAACATGATAAACTAGATAATGCTAAATAATTTAATAAGACGGTTATTGTGATGTTTTATTTATTATAGAAATAAAAAAAACATTATGAGATACTTATTTCATCACAACACATAACAGATTAAAGTTTCAGAGAAACTAGCTTCTTAGTTTTTTAAGAAAGAATTTTCAAAATTTTTTGGTTACACCTCTTATGGAGAGGT